TCGAGGAAGAAAAAATGTTTGCCTCGTGTAAGAAATTTTCACCGTACCGTTATAAAATAGAATTTTGTCTCGCTTTAAAAGTCGTAATAATAATTCGATTCGTTTTAATATTCATCATCGTCATCGTGCGAAATTTCAATCCTTAGTAATGAACCGACAACCGCTTGAAATAAGAATTATGCTACAGTTTTTTTTTTCTCGAAAGTTGTGCAACTACAACGATCGCAGCGAAGTACTTCAAAGTTCAAAATGAGTATAAAGAAATCGTAGAAGATCGTTGTAACTTTTGTTACTGGAGTTTTGTTGAAAAAAGAAACTCGAGGAAAAATTCCGACGAGCATCGAAGCAATCGCGAATGCCCTTTAAAAGTTAATCAAATCTATATTCACGGCGCAGACGCATTGTTTGATATCTAGCTATAAAAATACATTTGTGCAGTAACTCATACGGATGTACGTCCAATTACGTAATGTATATCGATTGCAAACGTATTCGAGTCAAAAAAGAATAGAAGCACTCCTGCAGTAAAAATATTCTAAGCCGATTCGGAACCCGATGCACTCTGTGCAACATCCTTTCTCCGGTTCGATTCTGTTCCGCTGAATTTCGAGACTTTGGCCGATGTAAGTCATTTCGAACATGAGTTACAGAACATTTATAATTAAAATAATCAATGGAATCAATGGAATAATCAATAAATTGTTTTAATATATAACAGATTTTAAATATGATACTGTCGTATTTAATGTCTTTTTATCAAATATTTTAAACACCTTGATGAATGATTGAAAAGCGACGTCATAATAACTACGTAACTACTTGTTTCAACTTCTGAAGATTATAAGAATTTTTTTAAGGTATGTCATACGCACTATTTTTTTGTACGACTTTAATATTTAAAATAATAAACTGACAATAAATACAAGAAAAACGGTTGTTTTTGAATTATGTTTTATACCTTGAACTTTGCTACTTGAGTATGAAATTTTAATACATGTTTGGAACGAAAATAAAGAAAACCATTGTTTGTAAGATATCCCTTTCAATGGTACAACTGGAGAGTTTATTAATATGAAAATAACATCAACCTTAACTAAAGGCACTTTCAAACGTTTAGTCATAATTCTAAGCCTTAAGCGACCATACCATTACTCCTAGATATGTGACAAGAATGCAAAACATAGCAAAGTTCACTTCAATTATATTACAATGACTCATATCGTTGGCATTTTTCTGCCTGAAAATATATTCTCTCCAGCTTCGAACGTTCGATATCTTTCATTACTTTTCCAGATTTTTTGTATTACTTCCGACATGAATAACACAGTACGATTATTTGGAAATATTATAATTATTGGTTGCTTCAGTAGTGTTATAATTAATTCGGTAATTATAAATTGACGCGGTAAAAAATGTTTACTCGATAATTCATTCTGCGCTCATCATATTTTTCTGATGTCGTTGAAACATGAAGTACATGAAACTGATCTGCAATTGAAAATTGAATTTTTCCAAATGATTTTGCAATGATTTGTAGGTACTCGTAGCACTAACTGGATATATGTACAGCACTACAACTACGAGTAGTGAAGAAATTTTTGAATCAATTTTTTTGGCGACAATTATGATTACGGCGCTTTTAATTTACTTATCTATGTGCAATGGTTGTGAAAAAGTGAGTGAAGCTTTTATCTAACAATAAAATTAATCGGTTGAATAATATATTTATTTAAATAATTTAATATAGAACGCTGGCTATCTTAAAAAATTTCTAGATTTTTCGAAAGAACCAAAAACTGATATTCAAGAGGAGATAATAATAAAAAAATCAAAAGAAGGGTTTCTTATGGGTATAGTCAGTAATGGTAAATATTCCATGCATTCCTCGTCGGCAATGCCTCCCACAAAATTTCTTTTTAACTAATTTAATGCGCAAAAAATTGATTTTCTTTAAAAGTTCCATATTTTTCATTATATTTTTTGAAAATATTCATTGCAGGATTTTTGATCATCGCCTCTACGGCTTATGTATTTGGAGTGCTAATAAGATATTTAATTCTGAATTCAAAAATAGCAAAGCATTTAGGTCCAAAAGGATTGGTGTTTCCTTTCCTTTTTAATGGGTATCTACAAGAACATTACTTCCTGGTATTTATAAGTCAAACAGCTTTATTTGGTTTATTAATTTTATTTATTGCTGCCATGAACTTTATACAAATTACTGTAGTCAAATTTATCCAGGGCACATTTTTAGCGATTGGGTAAACTCGTTAGCGTTCGGTAAACTGGGTCGTTTTAAATATTTTTAATGTAAACTATAGTATTGTTCTTCTGTCAGACAAGATATTAAAAAAATACTGGAGGAATTTGAAGTAGTTTTTGAACATTTATTGAGCAAAAAAAATATTGAAACAGTAAATCAAAAAATTCGAATTAATATTATCCAGCATCAAGGAGTTGTCGAGTTAAGGGATTATAATTAAATTTTTATGTTGCTATTTTATCTCGTGAAATAATAAATTCAGAATTTTTCATTTCATGTAGCTTGTTTGAGGACTTTCAATGCATGACAAGAACGGGTTTTCTACTTGCAATAGTTTCGATGACAACGGTCTTCAGTTTGACAGGCTTCTGGGTTATGCTTTGAATTTTTTTATGATTTTTTCCCAGAAAACTTTATTGAATTTTTTGAATTATAACCTATTAGTTTCTGGTCGTACGCACATACGATGAAATGTACGCTTTGAAATTAATCTTATGGATGGTAGTAATGGTAATATTTTTAGTTTGCACAGTTTATCCAAGCCAAGAATTGATAAATGCGAGTAATCGATTAGGAAGGAATTGGTATTTTTTTTCCTCCAATTCATGATAAAAGTATCAAATTGATCTATTGAAATTATAATTAGTTACAGTTCCAAATGGTACTTATTGCCTCCGAAAGAGAGACGTTTAATACTTTTCATGATACTTCGAAGTTCAAAAACTTGTGAATTGACGGCTGGCCCAACCATTCCGTTGAATTTCGAGACTTTGGCGAGCGTGAGTAAATCATTGTCAGAAGAAGTAAATGTTCATGACGAAATTGACCAATTGATATCTTTCATCATTTTATAGATTTCAAATATGATACTGTCGTACTTGATGGCTTTTTATCAAATTTTCCAAAACATTAAATAAATAATTATTTAATCACCAATACAGCGATTCGAATTTTTTATTATCATATACTAATAAATAGTAATAATATCCACACAACCAGTTCTAAATGGTACTTATTGCCTCCGAAACAGAGACGCTTAATACTGTTCATGATGCTTCGAAGTTCCAAAACTTGCGAATTGACGGCTGGCCTAACTCAAAGATATATTTTTACGCTAGAAAACGCTTGTTCTCTCACACTATCAAAGTCATTCGATTCGATTTTACGAGCTTGTGCGAGCTCTCTTTCCACGACCAGTTCTTCAATGAACTGGATACGCGGTGTACATGCGCAAACGTACGTCGAGCGCGCAACCGAAATCTTGCGTACATACACTTCGGGTCGACGCGCGTCGCGAGGCAGCAACATTTATCTAGCTTTTTGAAAAAAGCCCACCAAGACGGATTATCTCGGCGCAACGAGACAATAAAATATATCTCTCTCTCTCCAGTGCAACACAATATACAATACCCCGCGCTCGCAGTAAAGTGTAAAAATAAGAAAAAGAGAGTCGAAGAGCCCCGCTCGACTTTCGTTCCTCGCAAGCTCGATGCTGCGTCATACATGCGACAAGAAGCTGCAGCAGCAGCAGTTCAGGGCGCGCACGTGTGCATTAGTACGGTGCATGCCACGCTTCGGAAGATCGGCTTCGTTTTCCGATCACGTAATCCTCGGCGATAACACGACCCGAGAGTAGTAAAGTCGTGCGCGCAGTAGCAGTCGTGTGTTGCACGGCAGAGCGCACAGCAGAGGGAGCCAAGAACTCTTGATCCTTGTATACGCGCGCACGAGAGAGAGATCCACTGTGCTGTAACTCCGTCGAGGATGAAAAAACAAAACGGAAATTTTACGCCTTGTGTGCGTTGGAAAGCATGGATATTCGTTCGCAATTAATGGTTGCAAACGTTGATGGTCGAACAGAAATTTTCCAACATTTAAAAGTAATAAGTTTATAATCGTTTTTTAAAATAATTTTTCAATAGTTCAGCTACCGCAGCACATTGGGTATATACTTGAGTAATGCTGTAGCCAATTAAAACAATCAATACTTTTTTGCCATAGATTTTGAATGTTTAAAGTAAATTTTTGAATATGATTATTCAATTTACAAAGATACCGAAAAAAAGGGTCGCTACTTTCGCCATTTGAACTCGTTCTCGTAAGCACAACAATCAAAATTAATCCATACGCCGCAAAGCCATTGTTGTGAAAACCACTGTTTTTAAATATTATCTTGTATGGACCGTTGATTTAGTTTTATAACGAAAAGCTCAGAATTTCACTAGATCGAGTAATAAGATTCAAAAAGTTATCAGGTACTCGAGTCAAAATGTCAACAAAACAACGAATAGGAGCATCCACCACAGTTACTTCAGATAAATTCACTTTTAGGCGGAAAATAAAAAATTATAGTTTACTAAAATCAAGCTTTGATGAATTAATTGATTTTAAACATAGTAAAAAAAAGCTCGTGTTGGTTGAAAGATCATGTAACGCGTGTGCATCGATCATCTAAAATTCCATTCATCATTTAATAAAAGTCCGGTGAAGAGGGAGGCTGCATTCAATCTATAAGTAGGGATGTACGAGTATCTATTATCTGCTGTTAATAGGTTCTAGTCCTTAACTAATTCGATTGTGATTCAATGGACCACATTTCAATATTTCGCACAATTATCGGCATTCGTCTGCGCTCTATAAGAGTCGAATTTACTCTTCTCACCACCGAAAAGTGTCGCTACTTTTCTTACTGGAACTAGTAGCTTCTTACAAGCAGAAACAAAATCAACTCATATATAGCAGAGTTATTGTTGTGAATACTAAAGTTCAAATTTTCATCTTGTCTGCGTTGGTTTTATTTAAATTTTATTAAATATCGATTAAAGTGTCAATCAACAGAGAAATAATTTTCTGAAAGCTATCGGATATTCGAGTAAAAATGTCTTCAAAACAACGAATAGAGGCCTCTACAACAGTTACTTCTGATGAGTGCATTTACACGTGGACGATCAAGAATTATCGCTCATTACAATTCAATGTCGGACAAGTATTAGAATCTCCAAAATTTGGTGTAGGAATGGATAATAAAAAATACTTCAAGTTGCAATTGTACCCTGAAAGTGATGGTACGGATGATAGCGCAGGACACATTTCTTTTTATCTTAAACCCATAATAGATTCAGCGAAAAAACCAGATAAACTCATATGTAGAGCGGCAGTAATGATTATTAATAATAAAAAAGTTGTTCAAAAATGGAGAATGTGTCACGATTTCGCGACCTCGGGCTTCTTAGGCCGGGGGTGGAAAAATTTTTTTGAACTGGAACATATTGACAAACTAATTTCTTTCGAGAATACTGTAACTATTCAATGTGAATTAGAAATTTTCAATGAAATTGAATCTTCACAGAATTCAGAAATAATCTGCAGTAAAGACGAGGCAATCGATACAATGAAATTCGATTTTTCATTTTATAGTGAAAAACTCAGTGATGTTAAATTGATAGTTGAGGAAGTTAAAATTCCAGCGCACAAAATTGTACTGTCAGCGGCCAGCCCAGTATTTAGGGCCATGTTTACACACGATATGTTAGAAAACACTGAAAACTCCGTGAAGATAACCGACATTACTGAGGATATTCTGACTGAAATGCTGAGGTACATTTACACTGGAGAGATCGATGCTATCGAAACCGATCAGATTATTGCATTATTAGCAGCGGCTGACAAATATCAAATAGATAATTTAAAAATCAAGTGTGGAAAAGTGTTATGTGATGAATTATCATCTCAGAATGCTATTAAGCTATTATTAGCTGCTTACAAGTATAAAATAAAGAATTTGAAAGATGAAGTAATAAAGTTTGTCACAACTCATATACAATTATTCTCGTATTCTGAAGAGATGAAGGAAATAGATGATCCTGATATATGGATGAATTTAGTGCAATCGATAATAAAATCGCCGAAAAATATATCCTAACCCCGTTTTATGCCTATAGATTAAAGTGGAAGTGGATTTAATCGCATTCTTTTTTTAATTATTATAAATTAGTCTTTAATTTTTGTATCGTATTAAGGTTAAACCAAAAATATTATTATAAGCTATTATCTAAGCATGATACCAAGTATAATTTTGCAATTCATTTCAATTATCGATTGATTATTTTTCATAATTGAAACCTAGTTCATTCCATGAATAGCATATGATAAAAAATTTTTCGTTAAAATTGCACTATAAGTATATAATATAATTTTTAATGCAATCGGTAAAGATGCAATGTAAATAAAGTGCAATAATTACATATTCTAATCGTTAATTGACTCATTAATTCTATGATTTCATTTTAATTCCTTCATTAATGAAAAATATAAAATAAAAAATCGCAAAAATGGTTTCAAAACGAAGGGATACTATACTTCAAATATATTACAGGGCTATTTTTGAATCAGTCGCACGACGACAATCGTTGTAACTGTCAGGACGGTGTTCTGAAACTATACAAATCATGTGACAATAAGAAAAGAGCTTTTCTCAAGTGTTGAGTAATAAAATCCTTACGAACTTTCTTAGTTAAAGACATAATTTTCCGGGCATTGATACATGTCAAGTCTCCAATATTTGATTGTATCAGTAAAATGAACATTAACATTAGAAAAAACTCATCAAAAACTTCTACTCAATAGCAATACAAGGCATGCATGAATGGAAAATAATATGCACCTATCGAATTACAAAAGAAGAAGATCGTGTCGGAAGATTCTTTTGTAACGCCTGTGTATCACTTAATCACAAACCAGAGTCTGAAAGAGAAGTGGGGGACAGCTTATATTTATTGGAAAAAACATACCCAAGTAGCTCTCTAATTATAACTACGCCGTGCTATCATTACGTTCTAGCATTGTGTAATGCTATTGCTAAATTGAGATTCATTAGGCGACATTTAAATTCTTCGCGCAAATATCAGCGCTGCTGTGCCCCGCGAGTTTGCTTTGGTAAAGTGTCGCTATTTAGCCGCTTCAACTAGTCGCTTCTCACGAGCAGAAACAAAAATTAATTCATTCGTCGAAGTGCTATTGTCGTGAAAACTCCTGATTAAACAATTACTTTGTTTATATTTTCTATTTAAGCATCGATAAAAGTTTTACTCAATCAAATAATAAGTGTCTAACAGTTGTCAAATACGTGAGTCAAAATGTCATCAAAACAAATAATAGAAGCTTCTACTAAGATTTATTCGGGCGAGTGTATTTATACGTGGACGATCGAGAACTATCGCTTAATAAAATTTAAAGTTGGAGAAGTACTAGAATCTCCAAAATTTGGCGTTGGAAGTGACGATAAAAAATACTTCCAGTTGCTGTTATACCCTGAAGGCGCGCGTACGGAAGATGCAGGATACATCTCGTTATTTCTTAAGCCCGTAATTGATCCAAAGAACAAACCACTTGGGCTTGTCTGTAGATGGACAGTATCAGCTATTAATGGTGAAGAAGTTATTAAAAAAAGCACATTGTGTCACGATTTTGCGGGTAATCAAAACTTTCTTGGCTATGGTTGCCCGAAATTTTTGAAAGTAGAAAATATTGACCAATTAATATCTTCCCAAAATACTATAACTTTTCATTGTGAACTGGAAATTCTCGGTGTATTTGAATCTTCATTGAATTCAGATATCATGTGTAGTGAAGATGAAACAATCGATACCATAAAATTCGATTTTTCATTTGATAACGAAAAACTCAGTGATGTTAAATTAATAGTTGAGGAAGAAGAAATTCCAGCGCACAAAATTATACTCGCAGCGGTCAGCCCAGTATTTAGGGTCATGTTTACAAATGATACGTTGGAAAACAAAGAAAATTTGGTGAAAATAACCGATACGAATAAGAATATTGTAAAAGAAATGCTACGATTTATCTACACCGGGAAGATTGATGTAATCGAAACTGATATGATCATTGAATTATTAGTAGCGGCTGACAAGTATAAAATTGACAGTTTGAAAAACAAGTGTGCGAAAATGTTATGTGATGATTAGCCACTGAAAATGCAATTGATATCCTAGTAGCTTCTCATAAATACAAAGTAAAGCATTCGGAAAATTAAGCAATAAAATTTGTTACAAATCACACCCAATGACTCTCCAATTTGAAAAGATGACAGTTTGAGAAGATCCCGTTATACGGGTAAATTTAACTTGAAGAATATTGAAATCTCAAAAAAATATAACTCAACTCCGTTATTGATGTGTAGGTGGTTTTTAGTTGAGTTTGATTACTTATTCGGTATGTTGTAAATTATTTTTTCAAGATATTATCCAAGCTCTATTGTACATAAAATTTTGTAAGTTGATTAATACTGATTGTAATTCAATATCTAGTTCATTGCATGAAAAGCACTTGAACAAAATTTTTTGTAAAACTAGCACTATAATTTTATGACATAATTGTAATACAATTTGTAATTTTGCGAAGTAAATACACTGCATAAGTAAATATTTTTTACTTGACTTGAGAAATTTATTGTTCTTTCAGTTAACCATTCGATTTGAATCTATAAATAAAAGGCCATTATAGCAAAATTAGAATTGACCACTTATCTTATTAACATCGATTCAAAGTCATAGACATGATATCAGTCACCGAGGACAAAAATGTATATAATCTTTCCAGTATTCGACTTCATAAAGAAAGTTACAATTAAAATTTGAAAAATCGTACGTCATTTTTGCTCAATAGTGATATAGTGATATAATCGAAATTATTGTGCGCCTACCGAAGAATACCGAAAAAAATACGGGGCCTTCAAAAGTCTCTAGGGGAGAGGAAAGGATGGATAAAATTTACTGGAAAAAGGCCATAAATAGTATTTTACGTATTTCTATGCTCTGGTTCATGACGTTCTATAGCGGCTTGTGTATTGCCAATTGAATTGAGATTCATTCAAATTGAAATTTTTCGCGCAGTTATCGGCGATCGCGTGTTATGTGCTCTGCGAGACGAAGTAATAGTAAGGAAATCCGCACTAATGTCGCCACTCACGAGGCCGTCCTTGTTTTCAGTGATGCACGCAAGCCGTTGTGTGGACGTGTGGCCCCTTTCAATCATATGTCGTATGCAAAAATACACGAAGATTTCTCGTGAGTTGTTGTCTCGTGTGGCCCTTGACAATTCTCTGTAACGAGGCGTTACACTATAAACGTTCCGTATTAAGGAGGTTCCCTTGCAAAGTTCGCAAGAAGTACATATATCAATATCGATAGATTTTGACCTCCCGAATCCAATGGTATAACCCTCATATGCCCAAGCCAGGCAAAATCTCGAGAAAAACGCGATCAAAGTTTCGAAAATTAACATGGGCAACATAGGAATTTATGAACTTTTGAGCTACATTTACAATTTATGAAAAGAAATCAAAGTTCGCAGAGGAATGATTATATACAAATTGTAGAGAAAGCTCTTATCTTTCAAAAATCGTGTCTCAAAGTATAGGTAGCCTGCCGTTTTTTCAATATTTTTTTAATAAAAGACGCGAAAACACGACTTTTTCCGCTCGTTTTAGGACTAGCAGACGACAAGCCAGCTAACTTAACCCATGTTACTGCGCGAACTCTCAATTGACTAGCGTGTTACCCGAGGGAACTTCCTTAACAAGCATAGAGGAAGACATTATATATAGCGAAGAAAGGACGATCGCTATGCCTACCCGTGTACTGTTGCTATGATTGGCGCGCATTTTATACACACAGGCGGCCTCACGGTATTCACTTTTCTATTTGGTATCCGAATCACACGTTGAATGTAATGAACGCGGCAGGCTTATACCGCTCAGTGCTCACGAGTCACGAGTCGCATCTCACACAAAACGCACAAAAACACACACGTTCAACTCGGAAGTTCTTGCGCCCAGCAGTGGAAAACGTCGTGTGACCTCGTAAATCCGCAGGGCCTCATCACCGTCACACGTTCTAATAAAACAAGATACAGAATTGAGCATTGAAATTGGTGGGACATCTGTAATATCATTGTTGGTGCTCAAGACGGCCGTTGACAGTGAATTGTTTTTTAGTGTGCACATATCTTTGCCGCCGAAAAGTGCTATACTTTCGTCATTTGACTTAGAGCAGGAAGCAAATCAACTCATACGCCACAGTGTGCTATTGTTGCGAAAAATATTGTTTTAATCATTATCTTGTTTGTGCGTTAGTTTAATTTTATAACAAATAACTGTTTCACTCGATCAAGTAATAAGCTTCTAAAAGTTATCAGATACTTGAGTCAAAATGGCAGCAGACCAACGAATGGAAGCTTCGACTAAAGTTACTTCGGATAAATTTATTTATACGTGGACGATTGAGAATTATCGCTTAATAAAATTAAATGTTGGAGAAAAAATAGAATCTCCACAATTTGGCGTTGGCAGTGATGATAAAAAATACTTCTATTTGCGATTATACCCTGCAGGCAGGGATGCAGAATCTGCAGGATACATTTCGTTATTTCTTACACCTGTAATTGATTCAACAAACAAACCAGATAAGCTTTTATGTAGATGGACTAATTCACTTATTAATGATAAAAAAGTTGTTGGAAAAAATACAGATCATCACGACTTTGCAACGACTGGATTTTTAGGCCGTGGTACGTCGAAAATTTTTGAATTAAAAAATATTGACAAATTAATTTCCTCCCAGAATACTTTAACTATTCATTGTGAATTAGAAATTTTCAAGGAATATGAATCTTCATTAAAATTAGACATCATTAACAGTAAAGAACAGAAAATTGATAAAGTGAACTTGGAATCATTATTTCTGAGTAAAGAATTCAGCGATGTTAAAATAATAACTTCTAATGAAAATGACATCCCATCGCATAAAAATATACTCGCAGCAGCCAGCCCAGTATTTAAGGCCATGATTACTCACGACATGTTGGAAAACAAAGAAAGTACCATAAAAATAACCGACTCTACTAAGAATATTGTAACTGAAATGCTGAGATTTATCTACACCGGACAGATTAGTACAATTGAAACAGATATGATTATTGAATTATTAAAAGTGTCTGACTTGTATGAAATTAACAGTTTGAAAAACAAATGTGGAAAAATGTTATGTGCTGATTTGTCCACTGAAAACGCTATCAAAATTTTAATAGCTGCTCATAAATATAAAGCAAAATATTTGGAAGATGAAGTAATAAAGTTTGTCACAACTCACATAGAATTACTTTCTAATTGTGAAGAGATGAAGGAAATAGATGATTCCATTGTGTGGGTAAATTTAATGCAATCAGTAGTAAAATCGAAAAAAAATGTATCTTAACTCCGTTATGAATATGAAGATGTTGATTAGTTGAGTTTGATTGCTTATTCGGTATGTTGTATGATTAGTTATTGAGTATGTAGTAAATATCTTTTTGAGATATTATCCATTGAATCATAATTTAATTATCAAATCATTGTGTGTCAGTTCTAAAATTTATGCTTAATATGCTATGATTATTTTTAAATCATTATAATAAGTCTTTGATGGTTCATGATTTTGTCAAATTATCCAAGCTATATTCTACATGAAATTGAATAATACCAATTGTTCATGCTTTGCAATTTGATTCCTAGTTTATTGCATAAAATACAGAAATTTTTGTAAAACTGTCATTATAAGCTTAATACATGATTGTAATGCAATTTGTAAAGTTGCAAAGTAAATAAAGTGCACATGAACAGATTTTTCAATTGATTTAATAAATGCATTGCCTCTTTTCGTTAATCATTTGATTTTGGGTTATATAATAATAAAAAGACAAAAACAAATATCAAAATCAGAATTAACCATTCATCTCATTAACATCAATTCAAAGTCATGAGTATGGCAGCAGCCATTGAGAGTTTATGCAATATTTCTAGTATTCCACTTTATAAAGAAAATTAAAATCAAAATTAAAAAAAAGCTCATGTCATTTCTGCTCGATAACAATATAAGACATTAAATCAATGGAAAATATTGTGCGCCTATCGAAGAACACAGGGCCTTCGAAAGACCCGTTTATACAACGTGTGTGCATCGATCATTCACAATTTAGAGTCTGAAGGAGAGAAAAAAAGGCCAGCTAACATCTACTTGAAAAAGACCATAAATACGCCTTTACGGATAGCTAGCTATACCCTGCAGATGATTTTCCGTTCCAGCTTTATGTGTGTTGGTAATTAAATTGAGATTCATTAGACAAAATTTACGTCCTTCTCGCAGTTATCGGCTTCAGAGTTAAGTTTGTTAAGCGCGCTGAAAAAGCAATATAAAATGCGTATTAACTAAATCGCACCATGCGCGAATTTCGAATCATCAGTCAATCCCTGTTTTCAGCCATGCGTGCAGCTCGATCATCGATGTATGAAGTCGTGCGGCCCGTGTCAATTATAGTACGATGATACCCGAAGATTCTGCTTGCGTTGTCTCGAGTGGCGCTTGAAAATTCTCAGTACCAAAGACGTTACTCTAGGGAAGTAAAGGCAGTGCCTGTGCCTCTCCGTGCGGACTATCAGTATCATAGCCGCGTGCGTATGTTAAATACACGGAGGCGAACCGAGTCACACATTCGCTACGGCTACAGTGAACACGTTTTGGCAGGCCTGGCACAAGACGCGTAGAAACCTGCACAATATAGAAGTTCTGGTGCGACCTATACGCTCGATAATCAGCAGGGCAACACACGGGTTGTCACAAGATCAAGAGTTGTGCAGAGAAATTGTTGTAGCATCTGACATATACAAGTCGATGGCGCTAAGCACGGCCATTGACAGTGAATTGTTTTTCTAGTGTGCACGTATCATTGCCGCTTAAAAGTATTTCTATACTTTTGCCATTGGAACTAGTCGCTCCTCGCAAACTGAAACCGAATTTTAACCCATAACGTCGCAGTGTGATTGTTGTGAAAACTAGTGTTTAAGTTATCATCTTGTACGTGCCTTTTGTTTCCTCTTCTTAAGATTATTAAGAATCGATTCAAGTTTCAATATATTAAGATATACATTTTTTAAGGCTATCAGATACTTGACTCAATATGTCATCAGAACAACGAATACAGGCATCTACCACAGTCACTTCAGAGAAATGCACTTTTACGTGGACAATCAAGAATTATCGCTTAATAAAATTGAAAGTGGGAGAAGAAATAGAATCCCCAAATTTTGGCGTTGGGAGTGATATTAAACAATTCTTCTATTTGCGATTATACCCTGGAGGCGAAACAAAAGAAACTGCTGAATACATTTCTTTATATCGTATACCTGTAATTTATTCAAAGAACAAACCAGATAAGCTTGCATGTAGATGCACAGTATCACTTGTTAATGATGAAAAAGTCATTCAAAAATCAATATTGCATTACGATTGCTCGACCAATAATTTCATAGGTCGTGGTTTCAAAAATATTGACGAATTGATTTCTTCGGAGAATACTGTAACTATTCAATGCGAATTGGAAATTTTCAAGGATTATGAATCTTCAATAGATTCAGAAATTTGTTATAGCAAAGAGCAGATAATTGATAAAGTGAACTTAGACTCATTATTTCTCAGTGAAGAATTCAGTGATGTTAAAATAATAACTCCTGATGCAAATGATATTCCAGCCCATAAAAACATACTCGCAGCGGCCAGCCCTGTATTTAGGGCCATGTTTACACATGATATGTTGGAAAATAAAAACAGTTCCGTGAAGATAACTGACACTACTAAAAATATTGTAACTGAAATGTTGCGATACATCTACATGGGTGAGATTAAAAACATGAATAAAGATAACACCCTTGAATTATTAGAAATGGCTGACAAATATCAAATTGACAATTTAAAAATCAAGTGTGGAAAAATATTATGTGCTAATTTGTCTATTGAAAATGCAATTGACACTTTAGTAACTGCTCATAAATACACATTGAAGAATGTGGAAGATGAAGCAATTAAGTTTATTGCAACTCGCACAGAATTACTCTTAAATTTTCAAAAAATGAAGAAAATAAATGATCCTGATGTATGGTCAAATTTAATGCAATTAGTAGTTAAATCACCAAAAAGTCTTTCTTAATTCCTATTATCTTTTTTAGATATTACCCATAGAATCTTAATTTAACTATAAGATAATGGTGACTTAGTTTTAGTATTTTTGCATTAAATGCTATATTCGTGTTTTTAAATCATTAGTATAAGTCTTTGATGGTTCATTATTTTGTGGCAAAATAAAACTAAACATATTAATGAGTTATTATTCAAGCTCTATTATGGGTAAAATTTTGCAAGCTGATTAAAACTGATTGTTTATACTTTGTAATTTAATACCTAGTTCATTGCATGAAAAGCATTTGAACAGAACTGTGTGTTAAACTAGCAATATAAGCTTTTGTCATGATTGTAATGCAATTTGTAAAGTTTCAAAGTAAATAAAGTGCATGAATACGTATTTTTTACTTGACTTAAGAAATTTATTGTTCTGTCAGTTAACCATTCCATTTGGGTTATATAATAATAAAATGGAAAAAACAAAGAATTTCCAAGACGGTCTATAAATAAAAGGCCATTATAGCAAAATTATAATTAACCACTTATTTTATGAACATCAATTCAATGGGCATAAAATCAGTCACAGAGGACAAAAATGTATTTAATCTTTCCAGTATTCAACTTCATAAAGAAAATTCAAATTTCAAAAAATCGTATGTCATTTTTGCTGAATAGCAATATAAGGCATATATCAATGGAAATTATTGTGAGCTCATCGAAGAATACCGAAAAAAACACGGGGCCTTCGAAGGACACCCGTTTGTTTGTACAATACAACGTGTGTGCATCACTCATTCATTATTTAGTCTGAAAGGGAAAGGGAAAGGAAAAGGTCAGCTAAAATTTACTAGAAAAAGGTTATAAATAGTATTTTACGTATTGCTATGCCCTGGCGTCATCACGATCTAGCATCCTGTGTATTGCCAATTGAATTGAGATTCATCAGACAAAATTTAAATCCTTCGCGCAGTTACCGGCTTTATGAGTCATATTCATATTGGTTCAGCACACTTAAAAAGCAATGTTCTATGTGTATATTAACTAAATGGCATCATAGAGGAATGTCGCATCATCAGACAATCCCTGTTTTCAGCCATGCGCGTATTCGTCGATGTGTGAACGTGTGGTCCCTGTCCTGTCAATCATATAGTGCAATAATGCACAACGATTTTGTGTGCGTTGTTGTCTCGAGCAGCACTTGAGGATTCTCTGTATCGAGACGTTACACTAATAAACGTTCGGTAACAAACAGAAGACACCGATACAGCGAAGTAAGGGCAGCGCCTATGGCTGTCCGTGTATTATTGTTCTTATTGCCGGCTATTATACACGCACAGGCAGCGTCGCTACGCTGTATTTATGTTTCTACTCAGTACCGACTCACACGTCCGCTATATGCGGCTACAGTGAACACATCATAGGCAGGCTTCACACAAGATGCGTGTGTAAACCGAACGCAGATATTCTTGTGCCCGCAGCAGTGGGAAACGTCGTGTGGTCTACGCTCTACGATTCACAGGACCTACACAATTGCAGACACGTTCTTACAAGATAAAGAGTTGAATATTGAAATTGGTGGGACATCTGACTATATTAATGGTGCACGACCATTGACAGTGAATTGTTTTTTAGTGTGCAAATATCTTTCCCGCTGAAAGGTGTTGCTATACTTTTGCCATCTAAACTAGTCGCTTCTCGCAAACTGAAACCAAATTTAAAACCCATACGCCGCAGTGTCATTGTGGTGAAAACTAGTGTTCAAGTTATTATATTGTTTGTGCCTTTTGTTTCCTTTCATTAAGAATCGATCCAAGTGTTCATCTATCAAGAAATACACTTTTTGAAGCTATCAGATACGTGAGTCAAAATGGCAACAGAGCAACGAATAGAGGCTTCGACTAAAGTTACTTCGGATAAATGCATTTACACGTGGACGATTGAGAATTATCGCTTAATAAAATTAAAAGTGGGAGAAACAATAGTATCTCCAAATTTTGGTGTTGGAAGTGATTATAAACAATACTTCAATTTGCAATTATACCCTGCAGGCGAGAGTGAAAAAGATGCAGGCTATATTTCGTTATTTCTTACACCCCTAATTGATTCAAAAAACAAACCAGATAAGCTCGTATGTAGATGGACACTATCAGCTATTAATGATATAAAAGTTATTAAAAAATTAACAGTGCATTACGATTTTGCGAGTGATCAAGACTTACGTGGATATGGGAGGCCGAAATTTTATGAATTAAAAAATATTGACAAATTAATTTCCTCTCAGAACACTGTAACTATTCAATGTGAATTAGAAGTTTTCAAGAAATTTCAATCCTCATTGAAATTAGACAATATCAACATTACAGATCAGATAAATAATAAAATAAACTTAGACTCATTGTTTCTTAGCCAAGAATTCAGCGATGTTAAATTAATTACTTCGGATGAAAATGAAATTCCAGCCCACAAAAACATACTTGCTCTAGCTAGCCCAGTATTTAGGGCTATGTTTACACATGATATGTTGGAAAACAAAGGCCATTTTGTTGAAATAACTGACACTCCTTACAATATTCTGGTTGAAATGTTGCGGTTTATTTATACAGGAGACATTGTAAGTACCAAGGTGGATATAGTTCTTGAAATTTTAGCAGTGGCTGACAAGTATCAAGTTGATAGTTTGAAAATCAAGTGTGGAAAAGTATTATGTGATGCATTGACAACTGATAATGCAGTCAAGATTTTAATGGCTGCCCATAAACACCAAGCAAAGTATTTGGAAGATAAAGTAATAAAGTTTATTACAACTCAAACCAAATTACTCTCCAATTCTGAAAAAATGAAGAAAATAGATGATCCTGATGTATGGGCAAATTTAATGCAATTAGTAGTTAAATCGCACAAAAATCTATCTTAAATCCTTTTTGAAATATTTCCCATGGAATCATCATTACTTAAACATCAAACAATGGTGACTCATTATTAGTATTTCTGCATTAAATGCTAGATTATTTTTTTGACCGTTATAATAAGTTTTCAATGTTTCATGACTTTGTGATAAAATTGAATTTAGAATATTAAGCTAATATCTACGCTCTAATTATAGGTACAATTTTGCAAGTTGATTAAAACTGATTGTCTATGCTTGTCAATATATTCAATATATAGCTGATTATATGAAAAGCATTCTAACATTTTTGTTGAACTATTACTATAAACTTGTGATATGATTGTAATGTAATTTGTACAGTTGCAAAGTAAATAAAGTGCATTAGTGCATATTTTTTACTTGACTTAAGAAATTATTAACTTTTTCAATTATCCATTCAGTTTGGGCTACATAATAATAAATATAAAAAACAGAATATTTCCAATACGATCCTTAAATAAATGATCATTATAGTAAAGTCAAAATTAACTACTTATCTCATTAACATAGCTTCAAAGACGTGTCAGTAATTATTGTGGGCAACAATTTATGTAATCATTCCAATATTCTACTTCATAAAGAAAATTGAAATCAAAATTAAAAAAAAGCTCATTTGATATCTGCTCCACAGCTATAAGCTTACACCAATGGTTGAAAAAAAATTCGAAGCTCGAACACAAAAAAAAAGCTCGCACTACCGCAGAAAACAACCCGTGCATAACGCGCGTGCATCGCTCTTCGAAGCTCGCCATGTGTGCGCGAGGAAATAGAGGCAGCTTTTCATTCGCGCAACTCTATATACAGTCGTTGCGTTTTCTTGAAAGCCTCGGCGCTCGCAATTTATATATAATATATATACGTGCTGCATTGTGTGTTGCGCGCGCGCGCGAAAGAGAACTCGCTGCCTGGTAAATTCGTTTCTCGGCTCAAATAAGCCCGTGTACACGTGCGATCGAAGTTTTTTTTTCTGTATATAACACTTTCAACCGCGCTGAAAACCGAACGAAAGGCTTGCCTCGATGCGCTCCAGCGTGACGTGTTTATTCGACGTCATTCGTTGCAAAATATACATAGAGAAGAATCGACAGATGTCTTATCCGATGGATGAGTTTATAGCTTGGAATCGTCATTGTTCACACGATTACTGCATGCACCAACGGTCCCGAGCAATTGGGCAATCATTACATTATACGTTCGCATTACATCGCCCGCTTATACACGACCGTATCAAAGGCAAAGGAACCGCATTGAAGATTAGACCGCCCTTTCCAAGCTGCTACATATACTACCGCACGAGAAAATTAAATATCTCGAATCCACCGAAACGTACAGGAAAAAATGATTCAAGACGAGAAAATACGCGTATAATAAACAAGCCCCTTTTTTATTCTGGGCTCACGAGCGCAACGAGAGACGCGCAATAGACGCGAACTCGAGCTGACAAGACGCGCGGCCGGGAGACAGGTTTTCTCCCTCCCTCCTCCCTCCTCCACTTGTACGAAACCGCGTCGACCGAACGTAATCCTCCTAAGAATTTGTAAATTGCCAAGGCTTTGTATCGCTGGCTGGCCGGGCTGCTCGATGTCTGTTGCTGCTCTTGCACAGTCGAATTTGCATGCGACGACTACGACGACGACGACGACGACGACGCAGGATTTATTTTGGTCGACCTTCTTTGATAATACACACGAGAGAATCTGCTTTGGCCTTGTATATAATGCGGGCATCAATGGATTTTCGGCGAGCTATAAGCCACAATGCTATTTCTGCTGCCTGCTGCCTGCAGTTCGAGAGGAGCACACCGCAGAGCATATATCTATTGAATATATACAATACGCTTGGAGCGCGCGATCGGCAATGACTAGGTCGAAAATCAACAAAACACGACTTAGCGCGAGGACGACGTCGTTATTATCAAAGCATCGAGTACGATGACGATGATGTCGATATCTCGATGAAACTCATCGGCTCGAGCTTCGTTGTCCCCTTGAGCGTTCTCTCTCTGCGGCCGGGCTGCAGCTTGTATCGATATATATTTATTATAAAAACTTGGTATATAACGACCTGTCGAACGAAAACTCGTGCTCTTGTAATAAGGCGTGCTGTGCCCTTTTTTGTCTCGTATATATGCTCGAAGCTTTTTGCCCCTTTTTCTGTTGTGTGCCAAAGCTGTATCTCTCACTCGCTGTCTCTCGATATTTGGCATTCTTTTTCTTTCGCGCGCCCCCAGGCCCATTCATCATTTTGTCCATTACAGACACGCGCGAGTTGACTCACTAAAAGAGTGTCACTCGTTATGCCGTACGAGTGCCGCGAATGTCGATTAATGTAGCGGAAAATTGTCGCCGAGTGACAATTCGCGATTGATTGTAATCTACACATTGTAATAGGTCTTACTTCGAACGATGATCGTTATTAATGTCAGCTTTATTTTTCCTTTTTTCCTTTTTACTTTACGACCTTCGACGCGCAGAAACTTTTATGATTAACATCCTCGGCGCGATTCTCCTTCGATATATATAACAATATCGTCTTTACATCCCCTTTCGCGTTCGCAAACGTTCCGGATATAATCGCCTACACGCATACATCTATATACGAGCTGCTGAATATAATCTGCGACGACGAGATGACGATCGGCTGTGTGCGCGTATATAACGCGTCGTAATCCACTTAGCCTTTGGCGCGCGTAGCGTATACGTCTATGGGGCAGCTCGCCCGCAGTGCAGTGCAGCTTGCGCAACGAGCCGCGAATACTACTCGCGCTGCTATTCTTCTCTCTCTCTCTCTCTCGCTCGTACACACACACCCATATACTCGCTTCTCCATGGGGCAATAAAAAAAGGCACTTACTCGCGCATGTGTGTAAGGCCGTATCAGCATTCGAAATGATATGCAGCGTCGGTAATAATGACTCGTCGTAAAAAGTCTTTTTATCTCGCGCCTCGGCGCGCTGTAACGAGCTGCTTCCACGGCGCGCGCGCAGTACGCTGGCAAAGTTCGCACATACATACACGTATAATCTATGTTGAAATCGTCATAATATTCCATCTTACTTTTTTTTCTCCTTTATTTTTTTTTTTGTTACGCAACTAAATGGATACTGCGCGCCGTTTCAGTGTACAATACGTCGAGCAAGCATAACGCAGCGCAGAAGGGTAAATATCTTATACGCATGCCCCATTATATTACGCATCATCGTATGTATATATGGAAGTTTTCATGCGCGAGAGAGAGAGACTGTAAAAAGGTGTATGGGACGTGGAGTTCGACGCTCTCTATATTGCCCGTTACAACCGCGCCGTGCGATGCTGTATTATATACGACGGGTTTTAAAAAATTTATTTAGAAGTTCAGAAGCTGTCGCTTATTTTTTTATTTTTAACGATCGGATTCGAGGACAATTTTCATGGGGCGAGCGATGTAAAAAGCTCCCCCAAGTAGTATAAGAATTCTTATTAAAAATTATTTCTTTTATCTCTAGCGAGATTCGTTCCCTGGACATTATTTTCATGTGAGAAAAAATGATTCGAATTTCGTTTTTGGCGTTTGGCACCTTAGCTCGATACTTGAATCGTTCATCGAAGAAACCATCGCATCTTTTTCTTCTTTTTTGAAACGAAAGGCTCGAGAGACGGGGATGGAGACAAGATGTCGTTGGAGAAATTTGTCGGGTAAAAGCATCCTGTGTGTGTGTTTGTGTATATACGTGTAGTTGGGTGCGCGCACGTGACAGCAGCAACAGCCACTTCAACTTGAAAAGACGACACTACAAAAGATGAGTCGAGTCGAGCTGCAGAGTAGTGTTAGTGGTAGTACACAGTACACACGCCTTGCGGCACTGCGCGTATATAGTTGCTCTCGAGGCTATGCAGCTTAACGTATACACGTGCACATACACACACCAATACTTATAGAGTGAAAAAAAAAACCGCCGCCACCACCACCGTCACACTGCAGCTATGCTGTTTTTCCACGAGATTCTGTGTCAGTGCATACCTCGAAACATTCCATGCCCGTGTCAAGCGGCGCTGAGTCAATATATACCTGCGGGGCGCGAGAAAAGGGAGGTAGACGACGTGCTATGCAAATTCTCTGGCACCTTAGCACGGCGACATACGGCTATCTCTCGCGTAGCTATACGTGCGACGTGTATAATGTTTGTGCTGACCTTGTGTCTATAAGTTCATGTGTTCGTTTTTTTCTATGGGTGCTCCGTTCCAGTCGCCTGGTTTTTGTGATACTATCTGATTTGAATTTCAAAAAGCTCCATATGCTGATGGATCGAAGAAAAATAATAATATAAAAAAAATAATAATAATATTTATTGCCAAACTCACTTTCAGAAATAACGTTCAGACTCGTTTTCGAATCAGACAAGTTCTAAACTTTGTCTCTTTATCGAGGAGATAAGCCTGGCTAATTGTAATTGTTTTCGAAAAGATTTTTTAAGATGTCGGTTGAATATTGTATCTTTGTGGCTTTTTAGAAAATTATTTTGTGCAAATGTCAGAACACACACTTGTATATTTAAGGAGGTTCCCTCGGGTAACACGCTAGTCAATTGAGAGTTCGCGCAGTAACATGGGTTAAGTTAGCTGGCTTGTCGTCTGCTAGTCCTAAAACGAGCTGAAAAAGTCGTGTTTTCGCGTCTTTTATTAAAAAAATATTGAAAAAAAGGCAGGCTACCTATACTTTGAGACACGATTTTTGAAAGATAAGAGCTTTCTCTACAATTTGTATATAATCATTCCTCTGCGAACTTTGATTTCTTTTCATAAATTGTAAATGTAGCTCAAAAGTTCATAAATTCCTATGTTGCCCATGTTAATTTTCGAAACTTTGATCGCGTTTTTCTCGAGATTTTGCCTGGCTTGGGCATACGAGGGTTATACCATTGGATTCGGGAGGTCAAAATCTATCGATATTGATATATGTACTTCTTGCGAACTTTGCAAGGGAACCTCCTTAAGTGATCGTAATTCGTTTTTTACGCAATTGAGAAATATGAAAATGATACAGTTCTGAAAAAAATGAATATTTTTCAAAATTTCTTCATATTGTATTCATAATCATAACTCGATGTCCGTCAACAATACACGCCGAAAAAGCTTTGTTATTGCGTCAGGCACAAGGTGGTGAACTTGTTTACGCGCATTCAAAATATACGAGTTTGGTAGATTTAGTCGATTATAGTATTGAATTGATCATATTGAATATTCCTCTCTCTGAGGTATTTTATGTGTATTTCAATTGTAATTCACTTCTTCCGTGGTATAAATACTTAACATTAATAAATATAGAAGAAATGAGCGTTTGAGATATTTAGGACGCTGAAACAAAAAAAATCAGA